AGTTTAAAGTAGAAACACCTCAAATATAAATGTGTGATCCTTTGACACCTTGAGCACTTCAAGTGCCTTCAAGTAGGGATCTGGGTGAGGCTTGCCATGCTCGCATTCGTCTCCTATAACAACAGTATCAAAAAATTCTGAAAGGTCAAGTTTGTTGATCACGAGTTCAGCACTTGGTCTAGAAGCATTGGTAACAGCTGCCCGCTTCAATCCATGATCTTCAATCCATTTCTTCACCTTATACAAGCCATTTATAGCCTCCAACTTCTCTGAGGCCAATCTGTTTGTTGATCCAAAAGATTAGACAAGGGGAACTTCAGAAGCTTGCAAAATATTGTTCATTCTTTAAACAAAAAATCTACATTCATTTTACCTCAGAAACACTGCTTCCTTATCCTCCATGAACTTCAAGCCCCTTGGAATATCTGTGGGGAAGAGAAGTTTAACAATATCTTCATTGGGCTTCCCAGCAATATTTTGAATAAAGAATTCCTCTGTAATTGGGACGCCATCATTAAAGCCAATCTGTTATTCACCCCCAGAATTAGTAAAGAGCAATATTTTGAATAAAGAATTCCTCTGTAATTGGGATGGCATTATTAAAACCAATCTGTTGATCACCCCCAGAATTAGTCTAGAGCAATATTTTGAATAAAAAATTCCCCTGTAATTGGGATGGCATTATTAAAACCAGAATCAGTCCCAGCCCCCAACATTAACAAATCTCTAGATAATTACTCATACATTTTAAATTTAATTAAGGGCATGACCTTAAAATTAAAGAAGAACAAGAGTATGCTTGCATTCTTAACACATTCACAATTTTTATGAAATTATCTATACCTTTCATGCACTTCTTTGTGGTGAAGGAGGATAAATAAAATTAAAAAGAAATGACAGTTGAAAGAACCATGAGTTGTTGCTTGAAATTACCTCTTGAAGCAGTACTTGGTAGGCATGATGGTGAAGAGGGTCTGTATCACACAAAGTTCCATCAACATCAAAAAATACAGCTTCTAAAGGAGCAAGATCGGACAGAGATTTTTTGCTGCATTACAGAAACAAAGACAACAGGTCCAATGTAGTATCAGCAACATAGATAATAGAGAAAGATCCAAAATTTTACATCCATAAAAACAATGCCTTTCCCATAAAAAAACCATCATTAAATTCAATAAAATTTTGATGATCAGGTACTAGAAAAAAATAACAACCCACGTTGAATCAAATGCCAATTTCTCCAAAAATATCGAATCAAAGGCTAAAAACAAAAAAAATCACATACCCATCTGCGGAACTCCTACCAGAAGTAGTCATGGTACTTAGAGGTGGAGAAATCTGGTTTCTAAGCAATGGGTTTTGGGTTGGAGAATGGAGATGGAGATGGAGATGGAGATGGAGATGGAGATGGAGATGGAGAAGGGTATATGAAGAAAAAGGAGAGGGAATAAGAATCTGCCAAAGGCATATAAGAGGATGCGCCTACCCTTTGTAGTTATTTATGAATAATTTATGATGGAGCTAGAGGGGCCAGGAGGTGACCTACAGCCTCAAGAAAAACCATTTTAAAAATTCTGCCAAGAAACATTCAAGCTGCATTTTCTGCAGAACCTCCCTTTTTATCAAGCTCTTCCAAAGGGTAATGAAGCATTTCAACACTTCAAGCTGAAATAGCAACAGCTGCTAATGAAGCATTGCAGAGGCTCCGTGAAGA